TGCCATCATACCCATCCAGTGTGGCCAGTGAGCATTCAGGCTGGAGATGGCAGAAACAGGTCTACCACAGCTGAAGGCCACCAAATTGGGGAAGACTGCTGTATAGGATTGCTTAGCCCAGAAAGAAACTGGACAGCCATCTGAGTGGGATGGTGTAACGAGGTGTCCTGCAACAGCAGAGGGCTGGACCCCATGGCCTTCATGGCCCCTTTCAGCTCTACTGTTCTATGATTCTATGAAAAGGTAATGAAGCTGCAGTCTTAGACACCTTTCCCTGGGAGTAAGCCCCACTGAATATAGTGAAACCTACTTCCATGTAAACACACATAGGATTGCACTGTAAACCTCTATAGTAGCCTACTGCAACCTGGTGCTTTCCAGATGTTTTGAACTACAGCTCCTATCACCCCTGACCAACAGCTGTGGGGCTTAGGATGATGGGAAATGCAGTGCAAACTATCAGGAAGGCATCAGGTTGTGCAAGATTATTCTATAATATTGTCACAAGTTATATGTTCAGTGAAACCAAGCTAGAATCTTTGGGCTTAAATGCAGAAGTCCAGGTTTGTAATTTGCAGTTCTGATCCTACTTGAATATCCAGACATTTGTGTCAGACCAAAAGCCTATCTAGCCCAGCATTTAGTTCTCACAACAACCAACGGGATACCTGTGGAAAACCCACAAGCACAGACAGCGAACATGACTTCTTGCTCATGTTCCTAGCAAGTGGTGTGAGAGGCATTCACCCACCAATACTGGTACTGATCTCAGCCATCAGGAGTGGTAGCCATTGATAGTCTGACCCTCTGTGAAACGGGAGAGGGTAGCCAGCTGCAGGGATCCATGTCCCAGCAAGCCTACTTTGGATTACTGCAATGCGTTGTGCATGAGGCTGCCTTCAAAAATAATCTGAAAACTTTGGTGGGTACATAATACCGCTGCAAGCTTGCTAGCTAGTGTAGGTGTTAGAAACGTATTACATCAGTGCTGTGTCACCTCCATTGACTCTCAGACTGTATCTGCTCCCAGTGCAATCCTATATGTGTCTACTGAGAAGCCATTCCTATTGAATTCAGTTGGGCCAGCTTCCAAGGGATGAGTGGATATAAAATTGCACCCTAAATGACTGCTCTCCTTCATGGATCACTGCCTTGTCGTGGCGAAGGGGCTTGCGTAGCTCAATGAAGCTATGAGCTATGCCGTGCAGGGTCACCCAAGATGGACAGGTCATAGCAGAGAGCTGTGACAAAACGTGATCCACTGGAGCAGGAAATGGCAACCCACTCCAGTATCTTTGCCATGAAAACCCCATGGACAGTACCAAAAGGCAAAAAGATATGACGCCGGAAGATGAGCCCCTCAGTTCAGAAGGTGTCCAATATGCTACTGGGGGAGAGCAGAGGGCTAGTACTAGTAGCGCCAGAAAGAATGAAGCAACTGGGTCAAAGCTGACAGGACACTCCGTTGCTGATGTATCTGGTGGTGAAAGGAGAGTCCGATGCTGCAAAGATCTATACTCCATAGGAACCTGGAATGTAAGATCCATGAATCAAGGCAAGCTGGATGTGGTCAAACAAGAGATGACAAGACTGAACATCGACATCTTAGGAATCAGTGAAGTAAAATGGACAGGAATGGGTGAATTTAATTCAGATGACCATCAGGTATACTACTGAGGGCAAGAATCACTCAGAAGAAATGGAGTAGCCTTCATAGTCAATAAAAGAGTAGGAAAAGCAGTACTGGGATACAATCTCCAAAATGACAAAATGATCTCAGGTTGAATCCAAGGCAAACCATTCAACATCACAATAGTCCAAGTCTATGCCCCAACTACTGGTGCTGAAGAGGCTGAAGTTGACCAGTTCTATGAAGCCTACAACACCTTCTAGAATTAACTCCAAAAAATGATGTCCTTATCATCATGGGGGATTGGAATGCTAAAGTAGGAAGCCAAAAGATAACCAGAATAACAGGCAAATTTGGCCTTGGAGTACAAAATGAAGCAGGGCACAGGCTGGTAGAATTTTGTCAAGAGAATACGATGGTCATAGCAAACACTCTTTTCCAACAACCCAAGAGACGACTCTACACATGGACATCACCAGACGGTCAACACAGAAATCAGATTGACTATGTGCTCTGCAGCCAAAGATGGAGAAGCTCTATACAGTCAGTAAAAACTAGACCAGGAGCTGACTGTGGCTCAGATCATGAGCTTCTGGTTGCAAAATTTAGGCTTAAGTTGAAGAAAGTAGGGAAAAGCACTAGGCCACTCAGGTATGACCTAAATCATATCCCTGATGAATATACAGCAGAGGTGACAAATAGATTTAAGGAATTAGATCTGATAGACAGAGTGCCTGAAGAACTATGGATAGAGGTTCGCAACATTGTACAAGAGGTAGCAACTAAAACCATCCCAAAGAAAAAGAAATGCGAGAAAGCAAAATGGCTGTCTGAGGAAGCTTTACAAATAGGTGAGGAAAGAAGGGAAGTGAAAGACAAGGGAGAAAGATACAAACAATTGAATGCAGAATTCCAGAGAACAGCTAGAAGAGATAAGAATGCCTTCTTAAATGAACAGGGCAAAGAAATAGAAGAAAACAATAGAATAGGGAGAACCAGAGATCTCTTGAAGAAAATTGGAGATATGAAGGGAACATTTCATGCAAAGATGGGCATGATAAAGGACCAAAATGGCAGGGACCTAACAGAGGCGGAAGAGATTAAGAAGAGGTAGCAAGATTACACAGAAGAACTATACAAGAAAGAGCTTAACGTCCCTGATAACCACGATGGAGTGGTCACTGACCTCGAGCCAGACATCGTGGAATGTGAAGTCAAATGGGCCTTAGGAAGTCTGAGCAACAACAAAGCTAGTGGAGGCAACAGTTGAGCTATTCAAACTCCTAAAAGACAATGCAGTAAAAGTGCTACACTCAATATGCCAGCAAATTTGGAAAACTCAACAGTGGCCACAGGATTGGAAAAGGTCAGTTTACATTCCGATCCCAAAGAAGGGCAATGCCAAAGAATGTTCAGACTACCGCACCATTGCACTCATTTCACATGCTAGCAAAGTTATGCTCAAATTCTACAAGCTAGGCTCCAGCAGGATGTGGACCGAGAACTACCAGAAATACAGGCAGGATTTCGAAGAGGGAGAGGAACTAGAGATCAAATTGCCAACATACGCTGGATCATGGAGAAAGCTAGGGAGTTCCAGAAAAACATCTACTTCTGCTTCATTGACTATGCTAAAGCCTTTGATTGTGTGGATCACAACAAATTGTGGCAAGTTCTTAAAGAGATGGGAGTACAAGACCATCTTATTTGTCTCTTGAGAAACCTATATGCGGGTCAAGAAGCAACAGTGAGAACTGGACACGGAACCACTGATCGGTTCAAAATTGAGAAAGGAGTTCGGCAAGGCTGTATACTGTTGCCCTGCCTATTTAACTTATATGCAGAGCACATCAAGAGAAAGGCGGGGCTAGATGAATCACCAGTTGGAATTACAATTGCTGGGAGAAATATCAACAGCCTCAGATATGCAGATGATACCACTCTCATGGCAGAAAGTGAAGAGGAACTAAAGAGCCTCTTATGTGGGTGAAGGAGGAGAATGCAAAAGTTGGCTTGAAACTCAACATTAAGAAAACTATGATCATGGCATCCACTCCTCTCACTTCCTGGCAAATAGATGGGGAAGAAATGGAGGTAGTGACAGACTTTATTTTCCTGGGCTCCAAGATCACCGCAGATGGGGACTGCAGCCAAGAAAATAAAAGACGCTTGCTCCTGGACAGGAAAGCTATGGCAAATCTAGACAGCATACTAAAAAGCAGAGACATCACCCTGCCAACAAAAGTGCGTATAGTCAAGGCTATGGTTCTCCCAGTTGCAATGTATGGCTGTGAAAGTTGGACCATAAGGAAGGCTGAGTGCAAAAGGATTGAGGCCTTTGAATTGTGGTGCTGGAGGAGACTCCTGCGAGTCCCTTGGACCGCAAGGTGATCAAACCAGTCAGTCCTAGAGGAGATCAACACTGACTGCTCTTTAGAAGGCCAGATACTGAAGATGAAACTCAAATATTTTGGCCACCTAATGAGAAGGAAGGACTCCCTGGAGAAGAGATGGCAAAAGAAGAAGGGGACGGCAGAGGATGAGGTGGCTAGATGGAGTCACTGAAGCAGTTGGTGTGAGCTTGGGTGGACTCCAGGAGATGGTGGAGGACAGGAGGGCCTGGAGGAATGTTGTCCATGGGGTTGCGATGGGTCCGACACGACTTCGCGACTAACAACAACATGACTGCTGCAACTGTATTATTACTTGCCCGCTCTGCTAATGGATGCTCTTTGATGTTTTGGAGGATGCTTTAATGCAAGTATTCAATATTATTTAAATTTTAAAAAACATATAAAACATAGCTTACTTTTCACCTTTTTTCATCAATACGGTTGTCTTCTGCATGCTCTGGACGGTTTACAATTGTCCCTGTATAACATCTGTAAAAGCAGCCAAAAATCAAAGTTAAAAAACTGAAAGCTTGGTGGGGAGGATGTAATGTACTAACTGCTAAACATCCGATTCAAACCTGTTTGAGCAAGAAGAGGGGAGGCAGGAGAATCATTCTTGGGTTACTGCAGCTTTTCCCCACCAGGCTCCCTCCAGCCGCTTGGAACGTCAACTCCCATCAGCCCCAGCGAGCATGGGCAGTAGTCAGGGATGTTGGGTGTTGTAGTCCAAAACATTTAGCGGTCACCAGGTGGGAGAGGGCCGCCTTCCTACGCAGAAGCGACCCAGAGACACCCCGCGGAGGACGTGCGCAAGCGAAGCGGCCTGGCAGCAGGTGGCGCGCCAGGACCGCAGACCGCGAGGGGGCGTGACTGCGCGCTGACGTCAGCCGGGACGGTGACGCAGCCCGGGGCAGGGGCGGGGCGCCCGGAGTGGTGTTTACATCGCGAGCCGGCGGCGGCGGCAGTCGCCTCGCGGGGGCCCAGTCCAAGCAGTTCCCCTTTCCCCGGCTCGTCGCCTTCCTCCCTCTTGTTCCCCACCGGTGCAATGTATCGGGCCCTGTACGGCTTCCGCTCGTCCGAGCCCAGCTCGCTGGCCTTCGCCGCTGGCGAAACCTTCCTGCTGCTGGAGCGGAGCAACCAGCACTGGTGGCTGGTGACCCGGGCGGGCTCCGGGGAGACGGGCTACGTGCCGGCCTCTTACCTGCAGCGCCTACAGGTCAGGCCGGGGGCGAAAGGCGGGCGAGGGGTGACGCGGAGGCGCCGGCAGCCGCAGCCGTGGCTGCCTCCAGGGGACGGGAGCCGGGGCTCCTGCTCCTGCCCCTGCCGCTGCCGGGCTGGGGTGGCCTTGCCGGGCATGTGCCTCTCCAAGGGCGCGCACGCGTCTGAGGCCGCGGCACAGCCCCGCGGCCGCGTCCGTGCTGCAGCGTGGCCAAAGGAGGTCACCGAGGGCCCGGCGGAGCCCGCCGCACGCGTCTGAGGCACCATTTGCGCCTTCATGAACCCGCGCAGGAAGCCGTTCTGTGCGTGTGAGAGCGCGAGGCTAGCCCGCAGGTTGCCGCGCACGGCGTGCTGAGCGCACGTGTGGTGGGCTGCGAGAGGCAACCGGCCACGGCCTCCTAGGGCCCTGCCCGTGTGGCTGCGGCACGTGATCCGCCTGTGGAAAGCGCTCTGGGGAGGACTTGCCCAGCAGCGCTTTCCACACTGCGGGTGGGGGTGATCTGCGGTGGCCCTGGACTTGCTGGTTCGGGGCCAGACTTGGTGGTACTTCGAACATACCTACTGAAATTAAAGGGACTTCATTTCATGGAGGCTGTAAGATAAACTCTGGATCCGACCCAGTATGGTTGGAGGTGCCGCACAAATCTTGTGACCGCTGCTTGCTGCTTCTCAAGTGTTGATGGTTCATGAAACTCATTAATTTGTCCATGAATTGCTACAATCTTTGTTTGATGTACATCAAATAGCACAGGCCAGCATTGGAGAGGTGACATACTTGACTCACAGAGACAACCTGACAAAGGGTAATTTTCATTTTTAGTGTGGGATTCAGACATTCTTATAACTCCCTGTCTTTCTTCTGTGGGTCTTTGTGGAGGTTTGTCCCTATCTTGTCCCTCAGGGGCACCCACTGCTCTTGGGATGCACTTTGTCCAAAAATACTGAGAGCTGTGAGCTGAGTAAATATTTGAAAATGAAATGACTGCTTTGCAAAGAATACTGCACACACTTATTAGTAACTGCACTAGCGTGCAAAGAGGAGAGGGTTCAAAAAGAGTTTGTGTGTGTGAATTCTATCAATTCCAAGCATCACTGTAAGACAAACCAACAGAATGTCCTTAATGGATGGTGATAGTCTCATAAGAACGATAGACTAGAATAGAATAAATGGGATATTATTCTACAAAGGAATGGCCTAAGATGCTTAGTCTGTGCCTGTTTCCTTTCCCTCCTTTGTGCAGACGGTATTAATTTCCATTAATCAGAAAGCAAACTCTAACATGAGCAAGACCAAATGGCAGGTGGCACCAGGTATTCAGGATACATTGAGCTCTTGAGAAAAAGCTAACAGTGCCTTCCTCAACTTTAAAATCTGTTACTCTGGTAAGCATTGTCTACACCAGTTACCCATGTGCAGGACATATAGCTTATTGGAGCTGAAGTGGATTGACATGGATGGAATGTGTTAAGAGGCAAAAGGGATTGCCATGTGATGATTATTCCCAGAGAAGTGCACGCATTGGATGCTAGCCATCTCAAAGGGTGTGAAGCTTGATTGTTGCCTGTATTACTTGACTGTGTTGCTATATGCGCTCACATGTATGTGTGTGCAAGATATAAGTGCATGCACAAATAAGGCAGCAGCTGTGATCAGGCTTTCTGTGTCTATGGAAAATGCAGGAAATTAGTGGATGAAGAGGAGGGTAGCCCTGGTTGTTGCAAGCTTTCATCTATAACATGGAATATAATAGAAAGAGGCTAATAACAGGCCTGTCCAACTACTGATGAGGAGGCCAGACGGCTAAGCTTGAACAAATGTTGTAACAATAGTGGCAGTAATTATAGCCAAGTCAGACACGTTAGCAATTATGGAAAGTGAAAGAACAGATTGCTTCAGCCCAAATAGGAATCAGAGTGATGAGTGATAACACCCTCTGCTCTAGTGCGGGGGTGTATTTGGTGGCAAATTCCTAGGGAAAGCATAAACATTGAAATGAGAATTTGCTTTAGAAGAGACATAGTTTGGGCCAAAGTGTTTTGTTCTCATGCTGGAGACTTGCAATTGTGCCTGAAATAACTGCATTAAGAAATCATGCTGCTGCCTTAATAGTTATAATTTATACCATGAAGGGCCAAACCAGATAGGATATTTGTCACACAGTTTCCTCTTACGTAGCTGATTTTTTCCTTCTGCAAATAGCCGGTGTGGGGAGGGGGAGCAAGATCAGGACTATGTGGGAGTCCCAGCTGGAGTGGTCTGAGAGAGATTACTCCCCCCCCCGCCCACCCACTGCTCTCTTCTCATTGCAAATAGGAGGCAAGGAGGTGTGGGAGGCAATTCTGATGGTCAGAACAAGAATCCCCATGTTCAGCCTCTATCTGTGGAAGAAAGGTCCAGTGTGGTATTGCAGCTGAAGCATTGAACTGGGGTCTGGGAGGCACAAGCTCTAGTCCCCTGTTGGCCATGCAGCTCAGAGGGTGACTTTGGGCCGGTCGTAACACAGGGTGGTTATGAGGATAAAAGAGAGAATTATGTAAGCCGCTTTGGGTTCTTGGCAAAGGGGAAAAGATGAGGTATCACTGTAATAATGAAAGGAAGAAATAAATCAGCTGCATAAGAGCCAGCTATGAAACAAATGCTACTTCTACATTGCCTCTGGAATGTGTAAGGAGCTGCAATTTGTATTAATAAGCCTAGGTCATTCTTTCAATACATTAACCTTTTATAATAAAATAACCTCTATTTTTATAATAAAATGTCCAGAAATTGGCAATTTGTTTAGAAAAGTGAAGAGCAAATGAGATTGTCCCAATTAAATAGATTGTGCCAATTAAATTATAAACTAGATAAATCGGTATAAGTTTCCGGAGTAGGGGGGATCTTTGTGTACATGTTCTATTAGTATTTTTCAGTATAATAGTTAATACCTATCTTGTGCTTATTTTCCAAGACAAGATAAATGGGCAGAGGTTGATAAAAGCAGTACAAAAAGAGGATCTTGTGTTGAATTTAGAAGAAATTCCTATCTCTGAAAAGTCTGGTGCCTGTGTCCCTAAACCACTCTTAGGGGGACTTCTGTTGGATGTCTTTAACATTTCTGGACAAGCTGGACCAGGATTCTGTTTGGAGTAAAACGATCCAATGATCAGAGCCCCAGTGGGACACTATGGGCACATCGTCACAACCCATTGTGGCAATTTGCCAGTGGATTGCTCGGTTCTGTACAGTACCCACAATAAGTCCGACTTATGTTAGGGCTTACGCATTTTGGGTCCTTTACTCCTTCCTTCCTCCTGGTTTCTTCAGGTGACAGTGCCACAGGTCACTGCAAGGACAGTTACTCTCCCCTCTTCCTCACAAGTTGTTTTTGGCATAAGCATCCCTATGTTTGTGCATTTATCTTTGAGATTATGCAAGCCGGCTTTCCACCAGCTTCCCCTGGTTTGGGCAGCTGCAAGCTGCTCCTTCAAAAGCACCTTAGAAGGGCTTCCTGTCCCATAGTGTAAATGCGCTCATTTGAAGATGTGTTAATGGGAGGATTTCACGTCTCAGCTGGGACAGTGTGCAGGTGGTACCTGCTGCTAAGGGCCAGGAGGTGCCCACCCTGGACAGTGCCTAGCTGAGGCCTGAAGGTCCTTCTCTTCTGTGCACCCAGGCCATATCCCAAAGGGTTGAGCAAGATTTGTCAAGAGAAACTCAAGCTGCAAAGGACCTTGTTCTGTGGAGGGTTCCATTAAGGGGATATTTCCCCCTTCTCAGCAAATTCTTGACCCTTTTCATTCTCCCCTTTGGTGCCTCTGGGCAGCCTGCTTTTGTACTTTCTCTCCGACTCTCCCCTCCTTTTAAAGAGAAACCAAGTTGCACACCTCCTGTCAAAACTTGGGGTCTCTTACAGATGGGTGTTGGGTTAAAAGTGGATGGATTTGTATTGGGATATCCCTCCCAAATATGTCCCTGTCAAAAGCTGAGCTCTCTAAAAACCCTTTTTGAAGGCTTCCGGTGTTTGACAGTCACTCCCAAGTGACCTCAGCTAGTTTGGGAAGAACAGCAAGGAGTTCAGACAATATGACAGTCCATCATGGTAAAAAGTGAACCTACACCATGGGTTCTCAGTTGTGTGTTGTTTGGAAAATTAGACTACCCACCCTGAGTCACCTGTGCAGGGTTCACACGACTTGACAGCCAATTGACTGTTACCCCTGATTGGTTCTCATGTCATGTAAACCCAGGCAGCATCAGCAAAATATGCAGCCGCTTTGCTGGTCACCACAGATGAGTGAGTGGAATCTGAAAGAACAGAGTGTTCCATTTCTCCTCTCGCTTCCCTTCGCCCTAGTTTTCTTGAGAACCAGAGTTACGACACAACACATCTGACAATGGGCCGTGTTGGTAGTACTTTCCCCACCATGTCCGCTTTGGAGGGTTTCTCTCAGGCCATTCTTGTTACCAGCTCTTGTGCAGCCAGCCACTCCTAACAGTGTGCTGTCTCTCCATGACTATTCCTAGCAGATGGCATTTTGCTGCTCACCTCCAGCTTTGGACTTCTGCTTCGCACCGCATTCTTAGTACTTGCCCATCCTCATTTCAATACTGTTTGCCATAGCAGAGAGTTTTTGTGTACCATGAAAGAAGCTCTCTCCAGCTCTCATCTGTGTGCATATCTCTGGGTACAATTTCAGTTAACCCCTACATCACCCTGGTCACGCAACCGAGCTGAGGTTTTAGTAGCAAGGCCAGGGTCAAGATCCCCCCTCCCCCAATACACACAAAAACATGCACACACAATGCTTCTTTTAAATAGCTGTTTCTAGACACAACCTTGCTCTTACATGCGTAGGTGATGGCTGTTGTGTTGCTTTGCATGTGCTATACTGACTGCATCCCCAGTCAGACCTTGGAAAGTGGTAACACTTTGGGTGGGTTGGCATGTCACAACAACCCCCCTCCCCAAGAATAAGCTATGCAGGGTGGGTTGTTCCTGGGACTCTGTGGCAGAT